GTGCAGCAGGCCATGTGATATTACGCAGTGCCTGAAAATAGGCTTATTGGAAGTTACCTAGCTGGGGACTATTTTCAGGCGTTGCGTAATATCATTGAGCATGCTGCACCCATGGTACGGCAGCAAAGTTCCTTGATTATTACGCCAGAATGAGAGTAGAGTTCCTAGCCATATCGGCCTAGAAAATCGCAACTTTTCATTTTCCGTCGGTCTTAGTACACGATGTAACTACAGAAGAGTCAAGTTTTAAATAGGAAAAATATAGAAACTCATTGGTTATTTTTGACCGAGATGCTAACGGTCTAATCAGATTCAATGATCTATGCTAAGCTACAGCTAAAAGTGCTACCGCCAGACCCGGAGATCGGCTGAATAGATTCGAAAACGGTAAAACTCAACTGTTTAACTCTAGGGGAGTTGGAAAATGAGCCTATTTTCAAAAATAGTGGAGTGTTCCTTTAAGTCAGTTGTCAATAAGCAACCAGTATGTATTCCAAAATTTCTCCTTTTGTGTTTCACAGAAGAAATAAAGTCACAAGGGTTTGGGATGACATAATGACAGAATTTTAATTTATAGGTAAACTGTTCTTTTAACATTGTTGTCACTTGAACTTCTTTGGACAAACAAAATACTATGACCTCAAGGCAACCGAGTTATTTAAGTTAAACTTCTTAGAATTTGAACTGATATCCAAAGGTACCCAGTAAACAGTTATTTTAAATGATAATAATATTTCACATTATTTTACTCTTTTGATTTAAAAAAATGCAGCCTTGGTGAACATAAGAAACCCAACCCGACTCCAAACTTTTGAACAGTAGTGTATGTTTGATTCATCCAGTTCCTAATGCATATATAGAGATGGAGTTGGACACAGCCAGATTAGCGCTCACCACATCAATGTTAAGACAGGGAGAATATTTACGAGTGTGTTCATTAGTCTCAGCAACTCAGACTGGGGTGCCAGCATGAACCCAACCTAACCCACACCAGAGCAGAGTTGTTACAATCTGTTCTCTGAATCTCTCTCGTCTTTTAGCCTATGTATTTACAACTTTTCCTATTTGCTGTAAAAATGCTTGTTTATCTTTGCCTTCTAAATTCAGCTCGATTTCCCCTCCCCCTCTCCGTGCCTCATTTGTTCTTTTTGTATCCCACGCTCTCTTTTACCGAAATGGTCCCTTTTGGTTTTTTGTACTGTAATTAGTGTGGTTGACGTCAACAGTGCACTATGGCCTTTAAATTACCCAGATGACTGGATGTATAGGATAAGAGTATGCTGTCCATTTATGGCAGGCCCAGTGCACTTAAACTGATTTATCCCATCCTGTTCTCAAGCTGGTCCTGAATCTATTGGCATTTAGCACATTAATCTAATAAAATAGACATCTTCCTTTTAATCAAAAATGGTCACAATTTGTCTCAAAAAGTTAAAGGGATAGTTGACCCAAAAATGAAAAGTGACTTGTGTTTTACTCACCCTTGAAGCATCCTAGGTGTATATGACTTTCTTCTTTCAGACGAATCCAGTCGGAGTTATATTAAAAATTGTCTAGGCTATTCCAAGCTCTATCATTGCAGTCAGCGGGTGTTGCAGCTGAACAGTCCACAAGTCGTCAAATAAAGCTCGGCCATCCATAATAAATGTCTCACACGGCTCCGGGGGGTGAATAAAGGCCTTCTGTAGTGAATCCATGCGTTTTTGTAAGAAAAATACCCATATTTCAAATGTAATAAACACTTTTCTCTCACTTCTGTCATCTTTCATATGCAGAAGGCGTTCCGGCGGATGATGCAGCACGTATGCGCAGGCGCGCGCGCCTCTGAGACACGCTAGTCTCACGAGTTTGTTTATAGGAGCAAAGGAAACAAAAAGTTTCCTCACTTTAGCAAAGGAAAACCAGTCTCCTCTTGGTTTATATTGAAGTCCTCCGACATTTTTCTTTGCAAATCTTTGGTTTGTACTTCTAATTCGTGACCGGCGTTTTGTTTTGTTTTCTCTCCGAATTCGTCACTAATCACGCAACGCCGACGTGCTATGTCATCCGCCGGAACGGCTTCAGTGTATGACAGTTGGCGGAAGTGATATAAAAGTGTTTATTACGTTTGAAATATGGATATTTTTCTTACAAAAACGCATGGATTCATGACAGAAGGCCTTTATTCACCCTCCGGAGCTGTGTGAAGTACGTTTTATTATGAATGCGCGTGCTTTATTTGACGACTTGTGGACTGTTCAACTGCAACACCCGCTGACTGCAATGATAGAGCTAGGAATAGCTAGGACAATTTTTAATATAACTCCGACTGGATTCGTCTGAAAGAAGAAAGTCATATACACCTAGGATGCTTCGAGGGTGAGTAAAACACAAGGCAATTTTAATTTTTGGGTGAACTAACCCTTTAATTAAATTGAAAATGAAAATTCTGTAATTTTCTCACTGTAATGTTGTTCCAAACCAGTGTGTTTCTTTTTTTTTCTTCGGTGAAATACAAAAGGAGAAGTTAGGCAAGGCAGAATCACAGCCTCAGTCATCATTCACTTTTACTGTATGGAGAAAAAAAAAGATGTAGTGAAAATTAATGATGACTGAGAATGTCAGTTTCCATTGGGTTCCACAAAAGTAAGTAATATGAGATTCGGAACGACTTGAGGGTAAGTAAATGATGACAGAATTTTACTTTTTGGGTGAACTGTTCCTTTAAGAAGCGCTATGTGACCGTAGCTGATGGGGTGCAGACAGGGCAGTATCCGGCAGGGATTGTGGGAGCCAAAGTACTGTGGCTTTCAGAGGAAGCACTGACCATTTGATGAGCACCGTTTTATGGGCTGGAGAGCTGTTCAGTTAGTCAGAAGAGTTCAGGACTTTTTGTATATCATGTTACATGTGGTAAATGTCTTAACTTCCTGACAAAAATGCTTTGCTGCTGCCAAATGAAGCTTCATAACATATTTCTAAAGGAATGTTTTACAGATATATGTTATAAAATGAGAATGCATTACAAAACCATGATCTAATCAAAAGTCAAAAGACCAACTAAAGAGTCAATAGCATCCATTTTTACTCTTAATTTGGCCCCAGGAAGCCCAAGAGCAAGCTAATCATGTGAATGTTGAGCATATATAACATCTATCTATCTATCTATCGACATCCCCAAAACATTACTGCTCTATATGAGATCTGCATGGAGGAATGGGCCAAAATACCAGCAACAGTGTGTGAAAACCTTGTGAAGACTTACAGAAAACGTTTGACCTCTGTCATTGCCAACAAAGGGTATATAACAAAGTATTGAGATGAAGTTTTGTTATTGACCAAATACTTATTTTCCACCATAATTTGCAAATAAATTCTTTAAAAATCCTACAATGTGATTTTCTGGATTTTTTTTTCTCATTTTGTCTCTCATAGGTGAGGTAAACCTATGATGAAAATTACAGGCCTCTCTCATCTTTTTACGTGGGAGAACTTGCACAATTGGTGGCTGACTAAATACTTTTTTCCCCACTGTATCTATCTATCTATCTATCTATCTATCAAACTATATATATTGGTCATTTAGGTGGATGGATACTTAATTGACTTTAATTTCATTTTTAATTCAAGCAGATTATTGTTATTAATATTCATTACCCCCAGAAGTCCATTCATTCTTTTGCTACAGTTTTACTTTTATTTAAACATTAAGTTTAGATGTGTCAGATGAAAATTGCTCAGGTTATTTGCTGTGGGAAATGGGAAGAGAAGAGTGCTTCACAGGAATGGATATTGTCAGGAAGATCTATAAATCTCAACAGCATTTACAGTAATGGACCTCCGGCTCTGCAGTCAGCACAGGACTCCAGTCATTCTTGTGAACCCCAGACTTAATACAACAATCAGCACTAATCAGAACGCATTTAGATCATTTATTAAAGTTGTCACACTTCCTAAATGACAAAAAAGCATCATAAAGTGACCCATACGACAAAGCACATATTCCAAGTCTTTTAGAGCTATACAATAGCTTTGTGTAAGGAACAGACCAAATAACTCATTTCCTCTAGCAAATCAAATCTCATTCACATTATTTGAATATTCGCATATTCAAATTGGGCACATTGCAATATTTTAATATATGCAAATATGCATGAGATGACAGAATTTCCATTTTTGGGTGTACTATTCCTTCATACAGTTTTAAAAATTTAAGTTCCGAAAGAGGGTTTTCACCACGATGCAACAGAAGAACAGTTTTGGGTTCCCTAAAGATCCTTTCAGTGAACAGTTCTTAAAAGAACCTTGATTTTCTTATTGTGAAGAACATTTTAATCATTTAAAGAACCTTTTTCTACTATGAAGAACCTTTTGTGCATGCAATGGAAAAGTTCCATGGATGTTAAAGGTTATTCATAGAACTATAGATTCCAATGAAGAACCCTTATTTTAAAAAAGTGTAGCGTGTACATTCGTTTAACTAGTTATGATTGTTGAAAAATGTATTGATGTCCATGTGTATTTCCTCTACTCAGGCTCATCTACGAGCAGCAGATGTCAAGATCTTGAACCAGTTGCTAGCACTTCATGAGGGCATCGAGGCAGTGAAATGGCTTCTGGAAGAGCGTGGTGCACTCACCAGTCACTGCAGCAGCCTGACCAGCAGCCAGTTCAGCTTAGGGGAGGGTCCCGACACCTCATGGAGGGGCAGCTGGAGCAGTCTGCAGGACCCCCATGACAAGCTGGACAACATTTCCATTGGCAGCTATCTGGACACATTAGCTGATGACCTGGATGAGTACTGCCCCTCTAGTGGAACTGATTCAATACTCTGTGCCACCCCTATGGGGACAGATGGCTCCAGAGGTACTGGAGGAGGAAGTTCCACTGGATCTGGAACCAGATCTCCACAAGTCAAGTCCGATGCCCCTAAAGAAGAAGCTCAGGTTTGGAATAAAGCACCATCTGATACAGCAAGACCGTACCAGCCCAACAAGACCAATGGAATCCTGGACAAAGCAGTGAAGCAAATGGTCAGACCAGATTCACCCAGAGCTTGTCTCGCTGAGAAGCTGGGGAAGAATCTGAGCCCTAAAATGAAACCCTACAAGAATGGCAAAGTTGAGTTGGAGAGCTGCAAAATGAACGGCAAAGTTCAACTGGAGTATGACGCACACTGGCGTTGGCTGCAGTCACAGGATGATGTGACGTTTTTGTGATAATATATGCAAGGAATAATTGACGACGAGCTGTTGAATTATTAGAAAAATAATGCACACCTCAGGTGTGCATTATTTTTCTAATAATTCAACGGCCCGGAGTCAATTATTCCGCTTATACTACGGTTACCACACCGTAGTGCGAGCACGTGTGATTGCAGTAATTCCTGTGTGCTGTATAGGTACTGTATGCTAATTTCCGTTATTACAGTTAACTATGCGAAGTGATATGGAACTGTAATGCGGTCAAGAGAGCTGCCTGGAACTACGTTCGCTGTGCGTTTCCCCGAAAATAATTGCACACCTCAGAACGTTCGTCAGCCAATCAGATTCAAGCATTCAATGGCCCCGTAGTATAAGCATGATCAAGCCAAAGGTGTTGATGGGAGACTGCACTGGTTCTCTATTCACCACTGAGCTTTTGTTTGTAGACTTTGGTCTTTGATTCATTTGAGGCCAGCTTCTCAGATCTCCTGAATGGACAGATGTTAAGAGGTCAGCAACGGAAAAGAATCAGGATTGGAAAGAAGCTTAGACCTGTGGGGGTCAGAGTTTAAAAATCCTGAATTAATGACAGTATACTCTTTGTCAGGTTATGTAGATGTTTATGAACGCATGTTTCAAATGTACATTTCATATGAGATCACAGTCTTTTCTGTAATTGCATCTATTGATTCAGCACAACTATTTATTGAGTCAGTAATAAAGGACTTTATTGAATATGTCAGTAGATTCATTTCATTTAAATGTATGTAGTTTCAATTTGTGCTTGGATTATTTTAAAACAGTTCTCAGAAACAAGCAAAATTCACAAAATTCATCAATACCTTTTTTTTTTTTTTTTTGCATACTACCATAATTTTTTTATAATTCATTAATTGTTTTTAAAAGAAGTCTCTTCTGCTCACCAAGGCTGCATTTATTTGATCAAAATCCATTAAAAACCGTAATATTGTGAACTATTATTACAGTTGAAAGTAACTGTTTTCTATTTCAATATATTTTAAAATGCATTTATTTATGTGATGGCAAAGCTGAAGTGTAATAGTAATGCTTAATATTTTTGTGGAAACCATGATGCATTTGTTCAGGATTCTTTGATGATCATCAAGCATTTATTTGAAATTGAAACGATTTGTAACATGACAAATGTCTTTACTGACACTTTTGGTCAATTTAATGCATCCTTGCTTAACAAACTAATTTATTTCAAAAGAGTGCACAAATGCTCACATTTTACATTTCCTTAATATTTTAAAGTGGACCAAAGTTTGTTTAGCTTAAACAATCCAAAAGCTTGAAACCACAGCAACTTACTTAGTTAAAATCAGATTGAAAAGATTTTTTATACTGTCAGACCATTTTGTTTGTCCTTTCTGCTGATTACAACATGGGCAAAATTAAGTGCAGCATTTGCTCTTAAACTGTAGGGAATGTTTAAATCATGCTCCATTTTACTACCAAAGTCTTATATCACCTCAGAGGGTGTTCCTTTGAGTTAACATTTAAAGGTCAAAGAATAAATCCATTCTGAATACCAAGCATGTTCCCATCTGTTACAATGTGACCCTGAGTCCAGAATCAGCAACACCCTTGAGTTGCCTTTGACAATTAATTATACAATCAAAATGACATTTCTACATGTATATAAATCATTTTAAAAAAAGCTGCTTTACTCTGTTAGAATGCTTATGTAATCAATCAGTAAAAATGCTGTATTGTCAATCTAATCAGGTAAACTGTGGGTTAGCTTTAAGTAGGATCCTGTTTTGAAGTACCAGTTCATACTGGTTCTATTGGATCACCAAATTAAATGAGCTTGAAATTAAGGATGTCATGTGGCTTATTCCACTGCACAGATCCAATAGAATGATATTGCTCATACAAACGCATGGAGACCAGTGGTTGTGCTGTGATCTTTGCATTTGTGATGTCTTTTCTTGTTATTTAAAAATGTAGCACCTAAAGTGCACATTTAATTTAAAGTTGTTCAGATGACTAACTTTTACCAGTTAATCAAATTCTATATGTGGTGTAACTTGGATATAATCCTGCATTGCCTATGTTTTGTATGCCAAAAGAACTGCATTGATGTAATTTGTTTTGTTTTTTGGTCTAATGGAGAAACTGAAAGTGCTATCAGTATTCAGCAATTTAACATTTAGTGTATGTAATAAAACACTGTACTGTTTTTATGCATTCATCTATTTTTGTTCAGAAAAAAGAGGTCCGCATTATAACAGTAACTATACTCAGACTTTCTCTTTCCTCAAACACCCACTTTCAGTTAATAATGCCTGTGCTTATAGGAAAGGGTTTCCATGACTACTGAATATGTGTGTAACTTATGCGTGTGTGTCACTGACAAATCCCAGAAGCCACTGTGTGAAGAACTGGATTATGGCAGGAATAGATGGAGATACTGGAGTGAGATGGTGAAGATGATCAAAGAGAAGGGAGCAGGTACTAAAAAATGACAAATGGATTGGTTGGAGAGAGATGAAATAAAAATATAAATGAAAACAGCAGTGGTCCTGAATCACATGCTGGCCTAGGTGAGATCAGATGAGAGGCAAACAAGTACGTACAGTGGGGTCCGAATCTCAGACCACAAGTGAAAATGCTTTGCTTAAAATTTCGGATTTTTCTAATACAGTACACAGTCTGTAAAAATTATTTTGAATGAAAAGTGGGAAAATGTACAAAATAATTTTCCGATATCTGTTTATTTCCATGTTTAAATTAGTAGATTTTGGCTAACCTGCATAGCTGAATTAGAGGAAATAAAAATGCTAATTATTTTAGAAGCATTTTGAAAATAATGAAAAGCATTTCTCTATATAAAAATTGCTGTTCATTTCCAGGTTACAATTAGAGATTGGAAAACCAGATGCAGATACATAGCTGAACAAGGAGCCCAAACTGTTATTATATATAATTTTACAATAATATATGTTATACATATTTGCACAAATCTCACAAAAAAAAAAAATGTTAAAGTTGCTCCAGCTAATGAACAAGCACATTCAGAGTAAACAAACCGATATTGCCTCAATGCCTCAAACTAGTTAACTGGCTCTTTCATTCTCATTTATTCAGCCATATTAAACATTATGATTTCTCCTATTCATATTTCTTTGATTGGTCTCATGAAATGAGCAGCATATAAGCAATAGTCAAGAAATGCTGAATGTTAAAATGGAACCATCTTTTTCTTCCTTCAGTGGCAGTTAGAACATCTGAAAAACAAACAATCAGCTTTATGTTGAACGTAACTTGTTTTAAAACCTTTGAATTGGCAATTTTGGTGGTAAATGCGACATTCCTCAGCACAGCGGGATGTTAAATCAGCTAATGGGTTCCAAATGAGAGATTCTTGCTTAGTTAGCATATAGCGGCTAACCCTCTGTGTTAAATGTGCTTCGTTCGTTCAATGCAGTGTACCTTACCACACAATAAAGCATCTCTGCACCTATAAAACTTGTTTGTGTTTAAAAAAATCTTTCTGTGTGCTAACTGACTGCATAAATCATGAACACTTGTCAAGTGCAGTTTTGGTGGCTGTCTAGCCAAAAGAAAATGTGGGCCCTGACTTTTCTTGACAGTTTGATAATTGCACAAACCCATCATTGTGCATAGTTTGATTGTGTTTCATTCCTTAGTTTCATATGTGAAAATCGGACTTGCAAGTGGTTTCATTATGGGCATATGGCATTTTATTTCCTAGTACTTCAGCAAAGTTGTTGGCAGATATGTATACATTTGATGCCAAAGCCTGATAGAGGTTTTTCCTTCAAGTTGTTGTCTGCTATTTAAATCAGTCCACCAATTTAAAGAAATTATATAGCCAATATTTTTGGATGGCTAAGTTGGTTGCCTTGTAGAGGAGGACAGGAAGAGCCATGTACTTATTATTATTAAATAAAAACAAAATAATATATAAAAATAAATAATAAAACACACACACACACACACACACATATATATATATGTATATATATATACATACATATATGTGTGTGTGTGTGTGTGTGTACCTGGTATTTATCAGGTTATGGGGACCAACTGTCCCCACAAGGATAGTAATACTAGTAAATTTTGGGGAAATTTTTGAGGTCCCCATGAGGAAACAAGCTTATAAATCATACAGAATGAGTTTTTTTGAAAAAGTAAAAATGCACAAAGTTTCCTGTAAGGGGTAGGTTTAGGGGTAGGGTTGGTGTAGGGCAATAGCACATACAGTTTGTACAGTATAAAAACCATTACGCCTATGGAATGTCCCCATAAAACATGGAAACACAGCATGTGTGTGTGTGTGTGTGTGTGTTTGAAAGGAGTCTCTTATGCTCACCAAGGCTGAATTTATTTGATCAAAAAATAATAATAATAATAAAATAAAGAATAATAATGTAATTTTTATAATGTAAAATAACTATTTTCAGATAAGTTTTCAAATGTAATTTATTTCTGGGATGCTAAACTGAATTTTCAGTAGCCATTAATCCAGTGTCACATGATCCTTATGAAATCATTCTAATATGCTTATTTGGTGCTCAATAAATATTTCTTCTTATTATAAATGTTGAAAACAGTTGTGCAGCTTAATCTTTTTGTGTAAACTTGTGATACACCACCATTCAAAAGTAAGAATGGTGTTTAGAGTAAGTTTAGAGTAAGATTTCAAAAAAGAAGAAAAAAATTGAATGCATCCTTGCTTTATTAAAGGGGTCATATGATGCTTTTTTAAAGATCATTATTTTGTGTATTTGGTGTAACAGAATATGTTGACATGCTTTAATGTTCAAAAAACACATTATTTTTCAAATACTGCACATTATTGTAGGTCCTCTATGCCCCGCCTCTCTCAAACGCTTAGTTTTCTACAAAGTCCCTCCTTCCGACAAGCGCAGTCTGCTCTGATTGGCCAACACGCGCACGCGCGCACACACACACACACACACACACACACACAACATGCTGTTCTGTTGTAAGTAATCTTAAAGATTCCTAAATGCATCTACTTTCGGAA